CAAAAAAACGATCGACATCAGATTATATCCTTGAAACCAAGCAGGATGCATTTTTCTATCTCCAAAAGCAGGCGAGTTATTCAGGTAGCCTGTTTTAGATGCTTCACTCTGTATATATACAAAATTATAATGTTTAACAATATAATTTAAAAGAAATTTTATCATTAATATAAAAAATTATGACGAAATTCTTAATATAAAAAATTAATGGATATAAAGACTTCCTAGTTTTTTTTTTTTTTTTAAATTTTTCTTCCTTCTTTTGATTATAATTTATTGAAGTTAAGACTTTCCTATGCATATCTGTAAAACCTACCTTCAAACAGCAAACTATTTATTTTCGCAATACTCAATATTTGAAAATAAAAAATATAAATTAATTAAGAATCTTAAATTGCTAAATATGACTGATATCTCTTTTGCATTGTGAATGTTACGTCCTGATAGAAAGATTTTACACTTGGCGATCAATGTGAACGGGCCTGATCGCGCGAGCCGGACAGTCTGTTGATACGAGCGACAAAGAGGGTTGTATTACTTCATCAGTAGATCAACCATTCGCAGGTTCCTTTTTAAGGCAATGAATTAAATCCTTTTTACCAAGGAGGAATCCTTGTGCAAAATCTAAGAGGGGGAAGAAATGAACGAGGAGGATCTTAGAAGTAAAGTAAAAGAAAATGATAAATTTAATTAGACTTATTGAGATTATTAATGGTGTGAAGTTTACATATAATTAAAAAATTTGTCTTGTTACAATGCGTTTATAATAGTATAAAAGGTAATTAAACTAAGGTAGTAGTGTTGTGTAAGTGTCATTTTTCAGGAGATAAGATAAAATTTAGAATTTTGCAGAGGAAGAGGAAGAGGAAGTAAGTGAACGAGAAGAAAGAGGGAAATATATAAAATGACTTGTTAGCAGGAAAGTTGAAATGATGTAAGAGGTGGGCCCGTGTAAGTTGTTGATCTCAGGAGGATCCCAGGATAGCGGAACTCGTGGCGACACTGAAGATGACACAAAAAAGAACATTCGTTCGCGACGAAGTTTTGATTGGACAAAAGAAACCGTTAGCGACTAAGTCCGAAATTTACTTTTGAGAATTCTTGAAAACTTAGGGCCTTAGCAGAATGGCTGACTTGTAATTTCAAGACAATGTTCTATGTCTTAAGTCTTTGTCTTGAAGTAACGCACAATACTATCTTGTGTCTGGAGTCTTACAAGTTAGCCATTTTGCTAAGGCCCTTACACAGACTGCACAAAAGAGACTTTTTAATGCTACAAAAGACGAAATTTGAGACGACCTTTTGATGACAAACGACGACGGAATCATCTGGGACACGAGTTTTTATATCCCTTTATTGTGGTAGATTCCTTTTTTGGGTCCAAATAAGAATTAGTTCTACAAAAACATTTCAATGTGGGGGAGAATGGCGTCACTTCCAGCAAATAGGATTAGATTATGATGTTATTCATGATAGGAATGTTATAAAGGACCCTAACGAATGAGAAGTAGTGTTGCTTAGGATCCATGGGGAGTAGGTTTCAGAATAACATAATCTGGTTGGTATTAATTAGCTCAGTGGAGTGCATCTCAGTGTCTTAAGATCTACTTTTTGAAGATCTAAGATGGGGTTTTTTAATGGATAGTTCATAGAAGCGGTTGACCTAATTCTAGACTATCTGATTTCCAGGGAGAACAACAGGTCTAAGAAATGTTTAATAGACGTCTTAGACCTGCTGTTCTCTTTGGGTTGGAGAGTTGAAATTCAATGAGGTACAGGTTAACAGTATCTTAGGTCACGGTTCTAATATTTTAGGCAATTTATGATGGTCGCGTGCCCTGGAGACGCGTAGAAAGCCAACGCATCTCGGTTTCCTAGACATACTGAACACGTGCGCGGTATCAAATTTCAAGTTTTCATGGCGCTTTCAACTTTGACTATTGCTCAGCATATTTTATCTACTTGATAGAATTTTTCTTTGTCGGAATCTATGAGTGTAAGCTAACTGCCTGTAAGTAACAGCTTATCTCTTAGTTTACGATTTGCAGTCGCCGAAGATGCCAGAACAAAATAAAATTTTAATTTTTATGACTTTGGCGACAACAAGTGGACGTTGGTTGGTCAAAGTGGTCTAGAATATTGACTCCACCTGCTACTTTTACTCGAGATTCCGTGAGAAAAGTCAAACTCACAAGGTCCCATAGGAAAAGCAACTCCGGCGTTAAAATAATCATCTAGAATTTTGGTCTGTGTCGCGTTTACTATGTCTGGTGTTTAGTATTTTAGTTCATCCGAAAAGAAAAGAAGCGTGAAGTCTGATCAGGACGTAACATGTAATTCTTACACATTTTATACTGTTTGTGTTATAAAATATCAATAATATATTGTAGTCATTGATTGCTGAGATGGAAAATTACTGTAAACATGCTACAGATTACGAGAAGACTGTTTTGCAACAATATGTCGACAGATGCGCGACATTTTATGCTATGGTGATGATATCATATTATTCGACAGCGTGTGTAGCGATAAGCACACCATTGTTCTCATCCGCGTCTTTTCCAACTTATGCTAAATATCCGTTTGATGTAAATT